GAGGGGGGGATGCAGACATGGAAGGAGACAGCCTCTGTCTAGCACACTTCCTTTCACTTGCAGGTATTGAGTAAAGCAATCTGAATGTTCTGAAAGGTCATCTTCTGTCTCGCTTTGTTGTAAGACATGTCAGTAGTGGCCATTCCATGCTACAGTTGGTAAATTGATATGTAATAGTTTTCATTTCTCTTAAGAGTCTTATAGCGGAAAAAGTAAATAAATGTAACTTGTGGAAAGATCCATACCAAAATGATAAGCAGTACCTGGTTGGACTGCTGACGCTTTCTTTTTCTTGCTTGCTTCTCTGTGTTTTGTGTTTTCTTTTTTCATTCATTTAGAAAAATACTTATCTAGCATGTGCATGCAGGGATCAGATAGCTGGGTGGGATGACCCCACAATTCCCATCTCAATTCCAAATCTTTGCTGCTCCCCTACGTCTCTTTTGAGTTTACATGCAAGTGTGGACTTGTTGTCATTAGATTAGGGGCCTCATCAGGGCAATGCTGCTTTTTATTTCTTCTCCTCCTGATATTTCTAAATTTTCAAGACTTTTAGCCAGGCCTCGTTCTCACCAAATCTCGAACAGAAGTCGTTTCCTCCCCGCTAGGCCTCTATAAATCACTGTGATAGACTCCTGTCTTTCCTTGGTTTTGAAGCCACCAGACAAAGATTTGAATCTAGATTCTTCTCCTTATTGGCTGAGCAACTTTGAAGAAGCTTCTTAACCTCTCTGAACTGCAGTTTTGTCATCTGTAAAATGGGAGAAACAATACCTGCAGGGAAGGTGGTTGTAAGCATTTGACAAGATAATGGGTAAGAAGGGCTGGCACATAATAAAGGCTCAAAAGGTAATTGCTATTAATAAAAAGTAGTCTTGGGAAGCCCTAGAGGCTGTTCTAGGTTGAGGGCAGAGCTTGGGTTGTTAATAAAAGGCAGAATTGTACAATCATTAAGAAATCTGGCTCTGGCCTCTAAAGAACCCAGTTTAAATCCTTGCTCCCTGCATTGCCCTGGGCAACTTACTACATTTCTAAGAAGCTTGGCTTCCTCACCTGTAAATTGCACATAACAATAACTTACAATCACAGTGTTTCTCAAAATATTATCCAGGGATCCTGGAGACCCCCAAGACCCTTCCAGGGCTCTTCAAGGTAAAATTTACTTTGGTGATAGGGCTAAAACATTACTTGTCCTTTTTATTGTTTCTCAAGTATACAGTAGTTTTCCAGAGGCTACGTGACATGTCATAGTATCATTGCTCCCATGACTAACGGAAAGTGTGTTTGTAAATTCCTGTGCTTCCATTTTCTTTTTCAGTTCAATTTCTAACATGGTAAATATCAAGATGTATGTAACTCATGTAAACAAAAGCTACTCGGGGTCCTCAATAATTTTAAGAGTCTAAAGGGACCTAAGACAAAACACTTGGAGAATCGTTGCCTGTGAGGGTTGTTGTAAAGATTAAGTACTGTACACCTGAGACTAATACAATGTTGTAAGTCAACTATACTTTAGTAAAAAAAAAAAAAAAGATTAAGATAAGGGTCTGTCTACTCCACCTATACATAAAGCAAACTGAAATCATAGCACTTGATGCAAAAGTCACCCTTGTTTTATCCCCTTCTGTTTGTTTATATAGTGAAGGTTCAGCCCATGCTAAACTTTGAACAATTTAAAGATACTGAAGTCATCAAAGGCCCCCCACTTGAGATCCAAGTGCCCTGAAGACATGAGAACTCAGTGGGCAGTCCCGAGGGTTTACCCTGCTTGGCTCAACCCTGAACCTTCCATCCTATTACTAGCTGGCCCAGCCAGAAGAAGGCGGTACCGAGGTGGAGGCGGAGGAAAGGTGGCTTATAGAACCCCCTCCTGAGTGGCTGACCAGCAAAAGGAGGTGCCGCCTCAAAACGGGAATAGCTTCCTTAAGATTTCAGTAATTTCCATGGAAACAAACTAAGAACCGTAGTTACTTTCAAGGGAAGGTGGGGAAACGGTGGGATGACCTGCAAGAGTCAAGAGTAAGCGATATAAAAATATTAGACTTGCGGGGGGAGGGGTCTTTTTCTTTCACTCTTCAGACACACCCTTGAGGAAGAACAAAAAATCGGCATCCCTAAATTCCGATACTGATGGCAAGTAGATGAGGATTTTAGGCGGTAGGTATTAAATGAGTTTGAGAAAGATGTGGCGCTAACTGGATCATAGTCATAAAGGAAGTTCTTAACGGAATCCTTTAAGGGCCGGCCAGGGCAGTTCGCCTCTCAGGTAGGAGAGCACCTACCGAGAGACCCCCTCCAAGGCCAGGACCTAGTTTTATGCACCGTTAACTCACAAACAAACAAACAAACCCTACATCAGCAATAACGGAACAAACAGGTGCAAGCCAGTAAGACAGTTTTGCATATGAGCTATTTTTATTTTTATTGCAGAAATTTCTGGGGACGCAAAGAAGGGGTTCTGTTAGAGAAATTGGAGCCCTAGGAGAGACCCTAGAAAAACTTTGTAGCTGCTTTCTTCTCCTCATCCTAAGAAAATGCCAAAAGGTCTCCAGGTGCGTTGGCCTCGCAGTCAGCCCCAGAGCCAGCCGTTTTCACCCCAGTCCCTGTCCTCGCCTCCAGCCACTCCGCCGTACACGGCCACCTGTTGCTGCCCTCGCGCCCAGAGCCGAGTCGCAAGCCGCCGCTAGAGTTCGTTCTAATTCCCCGGAGCAAAGGCTGGCCGGGAAGCCCCGACACTCCGCCCCTGCTCATCTTCAGGGCAGGCGGGGACTCCGCTGAGCCTCCCAGCCCCAGGCTCCCGTTGTCTCCTCGCCGCGCTCGGACGTCAAAAGTGGACCCCAGACAGTATCCCCTTGTCCCCGCTTAGCTCGTGCGCGCTCGCGCTCAGCTCACACCTGGGAGATGCTAACGCGCCGAGATGCCCACGGAGGAGAAACTGGTCCATCCGGGCAGGAGCGGGCGGCGCAGACAGGTTGCTTTCCGTGAGATTCCAAAGCGTCCCCTGAATCCCAGATCACTTAGAGCTCCGCAGCTGAGCGCTGTTGCAGGAACGCCGCGCCCCAAACGCAAGCTCACGGTTGCAGAGGCCGCAGGCGAAGAGCGGCGAGATCCTGACTCGCCTTTGCTCTCAGGCGCCGGAGGGGAATCCGGGGGGCGGCGGCGGTTAGGGATGCCCTCCCGCCAGGAACGCCGGAGTCCCAATTCCGAAAGAGACCCGCCTCGCTTCCGAGGGACTTCCCTGCGAGCGCCGCAGGGGTGTGCATTTCTCGAAGTCTGAGAATCCGGGCGAAAGCTGGCCCGACAAGAGTTGAAGTCAGCTCCCGGGGCGTCTGTTTGTTTATTGGCTCTTAGGGGAAAAGTTTGAGGATGTTGAACCAACCTCAGACCTGGCGCAAGCGGAAATCTCAGAATCTCTCCAGCAAAAGTCATCTAATTTCGACTCGTTATATAAGTGAGGGGCTCTTTCTTACCCTCCCTACCCCAAGCCCTCTCATTACTATTCCAGGAGTTAAATGTGTCTCGCTTTAAAAAAAATTTTTTTTAAGTTATTATTATTTCTTTGAGTCCGAAGGCGGGAGAAAGCAGGCAGAGCCGGGGGCGCGCGGCAGCCCCACCCTCGCGCTGCCCCTTGGGCTGCGGCAGGAACGCGGGATCCCGGGTGCCGCCGGTTCAGGGCGAGCAGCCGAGCCCCGCGGTCCCTCCGTCCGCCACTCCACGTGGTCAAGATCAACAGTTTGTTGAGCTCATCAGTGACACCTTGAACTTTTCATAAAGAAAATGGGTATTGCAGCGGGAGGGTTCGGCCGCGGCCGCCGCGCCGGGTCCTGCTTAATATTCAATGATCTCGCTCGCGCCTCCCCCTCCGCCCCTCGCAGAAATTCCACCGAGTCCGTTACTGGGCTCAGACTTTTAAGTTAATTTACTGCCCTCCCCCCAACCTTGGCTAGTAACCAGCGCCTTTAGGGCTAGCTTCCCCCCCGGCTCCCGCCTGAAAATGACATTTCGCCGGCGTCTCCGGAGGGGGCTGAATTTCACTTTGTAACTTTCTGCGGAACCCGAGCCCGGGTGGCAGCTCGGGTGGTGGTATCGTATGCAAATACGCATGCTGACGTTACAGATCATGTGGGTTTTGGCGTAGATTCCCCACTGATCGAGACATTTTTTTCCCCTTTTTTTTCCTTCTTTTTTTTTTTTTTTTCTTTCTTTCTAAAAATTTTGGCCACTGTTCTCCGAACGGGGGCTTCTTCTGTCTGTCTGTCTGGCAGGCTGGCTTTCCCCCTCTTTCCCACGGAGCCCGAGCCGGGCGCCCGGTGGGGAGTGGGGAGTAGGTGGGGGGAGCCAGCAGAGTTCCATTTTGGAACGCCCGTGCAGCGTCTCCGCGTTCCCAGCCCGGGTCTCCGCGTTCCCAGCCCCGGCGCAGGTAAGAAACTTCGCCCCGGCGCGGAGCACCCCCCGCCCGGCGCCGCCGGCCCCAAGCCCCGCACGCCGGGCACCGGCCACTCCAGCCCAACTTTCCCACCGCTGCCGCAGCCGCCGCCGCGGCTCCCGAAAATGTGTTGTTAATGGGACTTGGCCGGGTTTGCGATTGGAAGGGGGGGGGGGGGGGGGGAGGGTGCAGGCTCTTTTTGCGGGTAGGAGGAGATCAGAGGATCCAGAGGTGGGGGAGATTTTTTTTAAAGAGTTTTGATTACAAGTTTGGATCAATGGGAGGCAGACCGAGAAGGAGGAGGAGGAGGAAAAACATGTCTACGTTTCCCTATGTCGACATAAGCCACAAAAAAATATGGCGTCCGCTTTCGACAGGGCGTTACGTAGACCCGACTCTGTTTTTATTTATTTATTTCGTGGCCGGCTCCCTCCCTTCTTGGCCAAACTGCGGCGCTTTGTGCGAACGGGGCCGGTCCCGCGGGGACTCCACCGGGACGTGGCCCCGGCTCCGCGGGGTTTGGCAGGCGGGGGGCTGCGTGTGTGTGCTCCCCTCCCTCCCCCGCTCTCCCCTCTTCTCCCCTCTCCCGGTGACGATTCGCCGTAATGTGGTGGCAGGAAGCATGACGCCGTGGGTTGAGGCTGCCTCTCCTCTCCGCGCTCCTGGTGGCTGCAGGCAGCAGGCGCGCGGCGCGGGCGGGCGGCCGCCCCAGCTACCTGCCGGGGGCCGGGCCGGAGTGCGGCGCTGTCCCCACGCCCCGCTCAGGTGCCGGGAAACCCGCGTGGGGAGGGGCGGCGGGGGACCCTGGGGACCCCCGGGCCCGGCTGCCCGCCGCCCGCGGGCCCGCGCCCGCAGCCCGCCCAAGCCCACGATCGCCCCCCGGAACGGCAGCTGGGGCTTTTCGTCTGCCCCACGAGAGGTTCATCTTTGTTGGTGTTGCGGCTCCTTTGTGGCGTCCCCAGGACTTGGTATCTTCGCCTTTGCAAACTTGCCCCTTTCCCAGCCGCTTTGCAGGAGGCTGGAAAAGGAGCGGAAAGTTGGAAACCAGTGAGCATCACAGCACCGTCCCCTCGGCCTCGTCGCTGTGCGGAGCTCGGGAGGCGGCGGCGCACGACCGGGAGGAGGAGGGTGGTGTGTTAGGCTGCGGAGAAAACTTGCCGGGGAAGCCAAGTTGTGATTTGCTCAGGCTTCCACCTGATGGATCGGCTTCAAAGCCAGTGGGGTCTCTGCCTTCAGCTATTGCCGCGATGGCCTTTTGTTTGTCTGGGAGGTGAGGGAGGAGGAAGGTGAGGAAATAATGACTTTCCCTGGACCCCTCCCCTTTGAAAGTGTCGCTGCCCAGCTTGGGCCCCAGGGATCTCCAAGTCTCTTCAGGCCCTAGAATTCTGTCCTACCTGCTCCCTGATGATCGCCTTCTGCCTCCAAGTTAGCAGCTCCCCAAGTCTGAGGCAGGCCCAGCTGGGCAGGATTTGGGGAGCAGGCATCCCTCCCCTTCATCCCTTGGGTCGCTCAGACCTCCCACAGTTACCCTCTTAAAACACACACACACACACACACACTCTCCTTTATGTAGAGCAGAAATTAATGCCTGTTGAAGTGAAGAGAGTGAGGTTCAGAGAGCTCTTCAAGATTTCCGTCAAAAGGGGATTTTCTATTTATGAGGGCAGTTAAAGAACTTGAGTCCCGGGGCAGTGATGTCAAAAAGCATTTGGATGACAACCAAGTGGAATAAATATCTTGTAAAATGGCACGTTTAATGGTAAAAATAGATTAATGGAGCCGCCAAGTGCTTGAATGGGGCTAACATAACGGTTTCAGTTTAAAGGGAAAGTTATATCAAGCTGTATACACATCTTTTAAGGCCAAAGGCGGGAAATCTACAAGTAAGATTGAAATGCGTCACCGACAATGACTGGATCCGCGATCTGTGGGAATATCATTGCTGTTTAAACACTCTTCTTTGCGATTGTTCTCATGTGCACGCGTACCTTGCGGCCAGGTTTGGTGTCAACTAAGGATCCACTTGAAGTTAACAGCTTTTAAGGGGAAAATTTGGAGGCCAACGTTCTGGGGTAAATCGGATATATTAGCTAATCCCTGTTTAAAGGAAAAAAAATCAAAATGCCACAAATGTTCGTTGGCACTCAAGAAAAGTATTCTCCCAATGTAAATGCAGTGTACCTTGACATGCCAAAAGGCGACCCCACCCCAAGCATCCCATCCACATCAGGACCATGTGATTCAGTGGGATGCCATGCATTTGACAAACACAATAATGACGGTGTTTGATAACAATTGCTGACACTGTTTCAGTATGCCGGGCATAATGCTGTATATTTTACATGCTTTATCATTTAATTCTCACCGTAACCCTATGAGATACATACTATTATTATCCCAAGCTTAGTGGGGAAGAAACTTAAGCTCAGAGAGGTGAAACAAACTGACCCAAAGCCGCATGGCAAAAATCAAATTCCATGTTTGAAGCCAAGCCTTACAACACTCCAGTATAGCAGCTCCCCAGATATGGGAAGTTGTAGTTAGAATGAAAAGTAAAGGCAGAAAAGAGGGAAGAGTGACCATGGCCCAGTGGTCCGAACTCAGGAATTTTCCTAGTTTTCATCTCTTAATTCATTTATTTCGCAGCTGTGTGTTGATTTATTTGTTCACTCCGCAACTGAAATGTTCATCACGCTAATAAAAGCCTAGAGTCATTAAGCAGTTTTACATGCCAGAGACCGTTCTAAGCGCTTAGGATTAAACTGTGTTGTCTTCGTGACAACCCTGCGGGGTAAAGTACTGTCATCCTCTCCTTTTTATAGATGAGGAAACGGGCACGGAGAGGTTCTCTAACTTGCCCAAGACCAAACAGCTAGCAAGCAGAGTGCCAGACCCCAGAACATGCACACTCCACGTTTGCAGACAATGCGCTGCTCCACACGTTATAGAGGCGCTGCTGAGATAGAGCATCTATCTAACCTCGATGCAAAGCACTGCTCCAGACACTATGGAGACGTCAGTGAGACCAAGACGCCTTACCCTCTAGGAATTTGAGCAGCCAGCAGGCCAAATAAAGCAGGATTAACTAGGTGCTAGAATTGAGAAAAGTAACTACTGTGGAAGTACGATGAAGGGTGCAGTTCTTGTGCTCTGAGGGACCCATGGAGGATTTCTCAGAGGGGGTAGCATCAGAACTGACCCATGACTGAGGAGGAACAATGTCTGGCGGTGTGTCGGGTATCATTGAACTCACCTGTTAGCAACAGAAATCCTGCCCACCGGTGACTTAACCAGATGGGGGCTTATTTGTGTCAGACAGCAAGAAAGTGGGTGGGACAATGCCTCAGCTGTACCGCTGGGGACCCAGGCTCTGTCTTTCTACTCTGCCACCCTTAGAGTATAGGCCTTTGGCCCCAGGTCTATCATCTCGTGGTAGGAAGGCCTGCTGCATCTCCAGGCCTCACATCTGCATACCAGGAAAGGGGAAGTAGGATGAGTGAGGCACAAAGAGCATTTACCTAGTGTGGCTTTACTGTTACATTTGGAAAGGGACACCCCTCTCAGGGACTTCTGCCCTTAGCTCAACCAGAACTGTGCCACATGGCCACCCAACCCTACCAGGAAGGGGCAATGCCGTGTTTTTAGTTAGGCACATCACTGCCACGAGCAAACTGGGGTTCAGCATGTAAGGCAAAAGGGGTGAATGGAGAAACGGTTGTTGAGTTGGCAGATAAGGCGTTAGTGGCCTCAGATGAGAAGAGGAGGTTACTCCTGATGAAGTTAAAACTGCGTCCTGAGAGCTGTGTGTATTCTGGGGAGATGGAGAGGGGGATGCAGGGAAGGTTGTGCAAAGAGATGCCGCCACACTTGGGGATGGACGTAGAGGAGGTTGGCTGTTAATCTGTAGGTACTGGGGAGCCATGGCAGGCTTCTGAGGAGGGAGCGTCAGGTGTTTTAGGAAGGTAAGACTGACAGCCTTGTGCCTTATGGAGATGAATCAGCTTGGTTCTTATTTGAACTAAAATGAGTTCTGGAAAGTTTCAGACCAGGGGACCAGTTCTGCCTTAGGGCAAAAAGAAGACAGCACGCTAAGAAAGTGAGGGAGATTTTCTTTTAGGTCCTGCCAATAGGAATCCAAAATTAACCTGATGTCAGTCGACTGTCACCAGGAAGTAACTAGCTCTCCTTGTGCAGTAACTCAGTGAGCGGAACCGGATACACTGGGAAGGGTACCAGTTTACTCCCCAGACGTGACGCTTGCTTTTTTCCTGACCCTCGGACTCCCCAGGCCCCACCTGCAACTCCACCACTCACCAGCAGAATAATTTTGGTCGTGACCCTTCAGTTTTGCTTTTAAAGGAGGGGATGCTATCAGAGGGCCTCAGAGGGCCTCCGGTCAGGTTCCCCACGCTGGATTCCTCCAGCAAGGACCAACACCCCTGATTCTCTGCTCAAGTAGTAGCTTTATGATTTGGGGCTATTACATACCTCTTTAAACCTCAGTTTCCTCATCTCTAAAATGGAGATTCTTCCAGCAGCTGCCTTCTGGGTTGTTGTGAAGCTTAAGAAGAGATTTATAAAGGAGCTTAGCACAGCGCCTAACACGTGGATTATTCTCAGTGAACGTTACCTGTTATCACCATCATCTCCTCTGCCAGCATAATCACTGCCACCACCTCTAGGATGTGACTTTCTTGTTTCCTTGAGGTAATTAACATGCATGGATTCTTATCGTAGATTTCGAGACCCCAACTGTCCCCATCTCATTGCAATTCTCCTCCCTACCCCCCCTCCTCCATACACATATATGCTCCTTTGTGGCAAGTCTGAGCAACTACTGACATGGAAATCTCTTCCTGAATATCACAGTGGGACCCTGGCGCAGTCTTCAGGTACCGTAATGTGCTGTGTCATGGTCAAACCCAGACAGCGCAGTTCTGAAAGGATGCTTAGCTACTCACACACCCCTGTGGTAGACAATAAAGTGGGCATTGTTTTTGGTATTGACAAGGTAATTTCATTTGTAGTTGAAAAAAAAAGAAAGTCCTCTGGATTCCCCGCCCCTACCCTACATCGAACAGGTTGTGATTTTAAGAGCATCCACCCCCAATCTGTTTGCTCTTCCTATGCTTGAAGTCATGCACTTAAGAGGGGTTGATTGGCAATGGTGTGTGTGTGTGTGTGTCTCACACATACGCACATGTAACAAGCCCTCAAGGAGATAAACAGTCTTGGCAACGGTCCATCACGTTCCACCCAAACTTTAAAATGGAGTCAAAAAAAAAAGACCAGAGTCAGTTTTCTTGCTGACACCTCTCCTTACCCCCTGGTGAACAATTTACGTGTTAAGAGCCACAGTTCTGCACACTTTCTTCCTCTTTCTGCCCAGCTCCGGTCCCCTAGTGCTAGAAACACTTAGTAGAGATTAAATCTTATTACACAATGTTTCACTGCAACAGTATTTACCACATAAAACCTGCAGTGAATGAAACGCTTGTGCTCTTGATTCATGGGGGATCGATCTTAAGGAGTGTGACCCAGGCATTCACTCACTTCGGTTCTAAGAGGTTCAGAGTATATTTTAGGGGTGCACAGGCTTGCTTGGGATGGAAAAATGGGAAGCGTGGGCTGGGTTTACTTTCCTGGGTTTAAAGCCACTCTGGGTTCACCAGGCAGGGGAAAACAAGCCCAATCCTGGGAACCATTTGCCGTCAAGCTCCAGACAGGGAGTGGATTCCTGTGTCTCTGGGGCATCGGAGGGTGGCCGAACTGAATTAGCTCTTTCTCTGGGAGGGAATCCTCCCTGTCGGGGGCCCAGAACAGACTCTGTGGGAGAAAGAAGGAGCCTGCTGTCAAGAAGGGTAGAGAGAAAAAGATGAATGAGATTTTCTGGGCTGGTTGGATGCCTGCAGCTGCAGCTTCTGGGCTCCAAAACATCTGCAGAAAACCAAGGAAGGACCAGAATCTACACGGAGGAGGCCGCATGCGCGCACGCGTGGGCTGGGCCAACGTGACGGTTTAAATCAGTGTCGCAGAAAGCCTCAAGGAAAACACTCCTCAGCAGGGCTGACATTTGTGTCCCCCCCGACCGCCATCTCCGCCCTGCCACAGACCCCAGCCTTGTCCACTCTGGCTGATGAGATGGAATGAATACAGATCTCCCTGCACACCCAGACACACCACAAACACAGTGCCGCCATCCTCGGGGCAGCAACAACTTCCAAAAACTGGGCACCTACCTTGTGCCAGGCGCCCTGCTGAATGCTCTCTCTCCACTGCGTCCTTCAGTGTGACCCTGAGGAACACTGAGAGCCATGGCGGAGCCCCATGTTAAAGACAGGAGGCCAAAGCTCAGAGCGCTCAGATGCTTGCTCAAGGTCACAGAGAGAAGGTCGCCAAGATTCGAACTCACATCAGTCTGATTCTAAAGCCGATGCCCTTGGTCATCGCCGGGTCTTTCTGAAGTGTTCTGGAGGCCAGCTCCACCCCAGCCTGGAATAATAATGGCGGGAGAAGGGACACTTTTAGAATGAGCTTCTGGACAGTCTGACAGCTTTTCTGCTAAAGGAGTGTAGGGGTGAGTGCACACAGGCTTGCGTGCGTGTGTTTGTGCGTTTAGTCAAAACAGAAGACAGTTCCAAATCTGTGCCTGTTATCCTTAGCCCCCCAAACCCCACCCCCAAGACAATTCTCAAGCCTCTATCAGTGTCTCTACCAGAACATTCTCTAGGGAGCACGGCACCCTCTCCACCCTCTCCTCCCTGGCTCCGGCGAGAAAAGGAATCCCAGTGGGCTGAAAGCTGCAGAGTTGGAGACAGTGGGAGGAGAAGCTGGGTGCTCCTTTCCGGACGCTGAACAGCCATGCCAGCCAGTGGGGGAAGCAGGTAGAGAGAGCAGGCATTGGGAGGGAGGAGAATGGCTGCGTCGCTGTCTTTATACAATAAAAGAGGATCATTGTTAACTGGGAGCCCTTGAATCGTTACACGTCTGCCCGTGCTTCTCTCCAGCTGCAGGGCCATTTAGTTAAATAGCACACAGAAAACTCCTTTCATCTGGCATTACTTTTCCCGCTGTTTTTAAAATATGAGACTGGGCCGAACTGCTCGAACGAAAAAGCCATCTCAGGCTCCTTTAGCCCCTGTGTGTACCCGGAGCCCCCACGGAACCTCCCTGGCCTGTGCAGGAGGACTTTTAGAAACTATTTTGCTTTGCATTGCACTCTTTTTGGAAACAGCACCTTTAAGGTATTTGTACCCAGCCTGGTCAGAGCTGGATGTCACGGCCAAGTTGTTTAGGGTGGGTGGTGGCCCAGAGGGGGTAAGGAGAGGCCAGAATGACAGGGGCTGGAGGAGGGGAGATATGGACTCACAGCTAGAAGCTGGAAGAAGAGACTGCCCCCCTGGCCAAGAAATCGAGGGGAAGGGATGCTGGTGGCTCCAGGCAGGAGCGGAGAGGAACAGGGCCTCACCTAACCTGCCCTAACAGAGTGCCAGGATCACGTTATCCTGTAGAACGGCCTGGAATTTAATTGATTCTGAGCAGGCAGTGAATTTCTGCCAGAGCCACACAGCTCAGGAGAGCTGGAAGACTTCACATTGTTTCTAAGAGCAAAGGTTCCTGGGCCCACGGAGCCGAAGAGTAGAAACGGTCTGGATCACTGGTGGGTTAATGGTAGACCCTCCAAAGACAGAGGGCAGGAGTCGACACTGAAATGGGACATGTCCTGACTTCGGCACTTTTAGAAATGGGATTTATGGGTCTCCTGGTAGAAAGTCTAATGTCCTCTGGCATCCCCGGAGGGGGACATTGGGGGGATGAGAATAATAGCATTATTATTAATTATTATTATAATAATTATTAATTAATTATTAATGGTGCATTAATAGGATCAAGGAGTGTTCTAGCAGGAAGAAAGTTGAGGGATCGCCTAATCAGGCTTAGGGGAACTGAGGCTCAGAGCAATAAGGGAATTGGCCTGAGGTTACAGGATCATATGACAGTGTATGGCTTTCCCTCTTCTGTACAATCTAACTCAAGGCCCTCTGTTTCCTTCGGACTCCCCCGACCAGCCAGCCCCATCACAGTACCTTCCCTCCCCCCTTCTGTTTTTCTGTCCAATCAGCAAACACTCACTGAGCACCTACCAGAGGAAGAAAACAACGCCCCTGCTCTCAGGAAGTTCACGGTCACGTGGCGCTTAGCGGCAACTGCTTTCTGACATCACAGGCGCAAAGCTGAGTGAGTGCCTTTTGTGGGTTAGCTCACAGCGCTTCTAGGAGCTATGAGGACTCTGTCATCCCAATTTAACAGATGAAAAAGCACAGAGTGGGGAAGTCCTTTGTCCAAGGTTTCTGCAAGTCAGTCAATCCTACACCACACCTGATGCTCTTAAGGCAGGGGCACATGCAGCCTCTCCTACCCTCTGCGCACCTGCAGCTCCAGCGAGAGGGCTGGGGCCCCTCCCCCACTGATGAGCACAGAGGGCGGAGTCACCAGCCCGCACTGAGGATGACACAAGGATGGGTGTGCATTCAGGGCCTGACAAAGGGCCTTCTTATGCGTGGGGGGTTTTCCCAAGGTATCGAATGTCAACTGTGTCTAGGCTCCACACACCCTTAACACCATAGCCCAGGTCATTTGTGTGGCAATCCTGCTAAGCAGAGAGTGGGAAGGGCAGAGCCGGAACTCCAGCACAGGTCTGTGCAATCCCAGACCGGATCAGTTTTAGCCACATCAGGCAGGCATGCCTCAGCTAGAAGTCGCTGATTGGGGAGTCCTGTGTGGGCCGGGGCAGGTCACTTAGGGACACAGAATCACAGGTGGCAGCCCAGTTTAGTTTCCCAAAGGTCTCCATAAAACTAAAGGAACTATAAGACACTTTAGGCAACTTTCAGTTGAGCAACAGATACTTATTTGAGCATAAGAAGAAGTCCCAAGTGCTGTGTGCCAGGCCCTGTGCATCTCTGTAGCATAGATATTAGCATTAGTCACAATTTAAAAAAATAGCTTGAGAAGTAACTTACATACCTTCAAATCCACCCACTCAAAGTGTACAGTTAACTTTTTGTATATTTACAGAGGTATGCATTCATCACCACAGTCTCATTTCAGAACATTTCCATCACCCCAGAAAGAGGTCCTGTGCCCATTGACAGTCACTCTCCATCCCCATCTCCCACCCTCTCTCCCACAGCCCTCGGCAACAACGGATTAGACTTTCTGTCTTTATATATTCGCCTTTACTGACGTTTCCTATGGAAGGAATCGTATAACATGGGGTCTTTCATGTGCTTCTTTCACTTGGCATGTTTTTGATGTTCATCCACGTTATAGCATGCATCAGTACTTCATTGTTTCATGGCTAAGTAATATTCCATCGTATGGCTATACCACATGTATTAGTGTGCTGGGGCTGCCATAGCCAAATACCACAGACTGGGTGGCTTAAAGAACAGACATCTTCTCACAGTTCTGGAGGCTGCAAGTCCAGATTCAACATGTCTGCAGGTTTGATTGCTGTTGAGGTCTCTCTCCTTGGCTTGGAGAAGGCCACCTTCTTACTGTGTCCTCACATGGTCTTTTCTCTGTGTACGTGCCTCCCTGGTGTCTCTTTTTGTGTTCAGTTTCCTCTTCTTGTAAGGATACCAGTCGGATTGGACTAGGGTCCACCCTAACAGCTTCATTTTAGCTTAATCACCTCCTTAAAGGCCTTGACTCCAGACACAGTCACATTCTGGGGTTAGGGCTTCAACAAAAGAATTTGGGCAGGACACAATTCATATCATACCACAGTGGTGTCATGGGCTGTTTTGTTTATCCATTGACCTGCTGATGGGCAATTGGGTTGTTTCTACGTCTTAGCCATTGTAATAATGCTGCTGTGAACATTCGTGTGCAATCTCTGTGTGGACGTGTGTTTTCATCTCTTAGGTAGATTTCTAGGAGTGGAATTGCTGGGTTTTGTGTTTAACTTTTTGAGAAACTTCCAAACTGTTCTCCTGGCTGTTTCCATTTTACATTCCCACCAGCAGCGTATGGGGATTCTGATTCCTCCATATCTTCGCCAACCCTTGGCATTGTCATAAGGTCCATTTTCCGGGTGAGGAAACTGAGGCACTGAACGGGGAAGGTCAATCACAGGGTTAGAGAGCAGAGGAGCAGGCTTCACACACACACACACCAGTTTGACCAGTTCCCTACCCGGGTCCAGGACCGGTTAGCAAGTGAGGCACCCAGTGTGTGAAACCTAAGACAGTGTTTGCTCTCAAGGTCAGCAAGTGCAGGCTTGGCACCTGAGAGAGAGTAAAAGCGCCTCCTTAAATTTCACATCCTGGGTGCCTAGTTTGCTCCTTACCTCTCCCTTGCCCTTGCCCTGCAGCCACCCTGCTCCTTGTGTGTAGGGCACTGTGCTCCGTGTTGTGGGAGGGTGGGAGCGAGGGTGGGGACAGAAAATCAAGCCACCACCCCTTCCCCGGAGGGGCCCTCAGTCTGGCTGGAGAATTTGTGCATTTGCAACCACACACAGCGAGCCTAGCTGGACCTGCAGAGGCAGAATCCCTGCTCACAGGGCTGCTGTGCAGATTTCAGGGGAACCTGAATACCTGTGAGGAACTTAGCACAGCGCCCGACACCCAGGCAGTGCCTCAGAAGTGCTGGCTGGCACCATGGTGTGAACATATCTCGGACCTGTGTGTCATGAGGCTGCCTCTGAGTCTCGGGAGTTTGAGGCATGTCCTGATGCTTTGGATCTGTGACCGGGAGCCTCATCCCCACCCCACAGAAGAGCCGTCACCCAGTGACCAAGCAGTGGCCAGAGACGAAGGAAACTGGCCATCTGCGTCCTCCTCAGACCTGCTGAGCCTGTCCTGGGAATGGTGGGTCCGTCCACAGAGCCCAACACTAGCTCTCCTTCAACTCACGGGTGTCCGCAGTCAGGCTGTAGACACTCCAGGTCTGGCTCTGTTACCTCCAAAGCCAGAGTGCAATTCCTGTGCTCCCAGACTGAGAAAAGACCTAATGGATAATACTGGTGGGGGTCAAGGTAAGCCAGGGAAGGAATGGCCTTGGGTCCTTTGTGCTGAACTGACAGTCCCCTGGTTTTCCCTAGCTGGGTGAAGGGGCCCTGTCGGTGGCCTGGGTTGTCAACACCTCAGCCTGCTGGTCTTTCAGGGTTGGAGAGGGTGCACTGATTGATCCTGGTAGGAGATTTGGGGAATCAATTTCAAGATGTCTGGGTACAGAAGACATTTCAGTTACAAAAATGATAGAAATGATGCTCGGCTTGGTCAGAGGCCACGTAGATTCTGTACATGGCTTAAAGTGGACCCACCTCTCTTAATAACTGAAGCTCAGTGGTCTTGCCTCGGGGGAAGGCGGCTTGCTGGCAGAACCACAGGACCAAAGGCATCCAGACCTCCCGGCTGGTGCCCTCCCCAGCCCTGTGCACACACCGTGCCTGCCACACACCTGCTGGCACACTGAGCACGGGCAGTCCATGCTGCAGGGTCACCGTGTGCCTCACCGGTGGCCTCAGATGTGTTCTGACACCATGACAAGACCTCAGACTTGCGGGACATGAGGGCTTTACACGTTAGCCCACACACACCCCCCCTCAGCCCCTGCCACCTGAACCCCTAGCTCTGGCTGAGTGGTGGCTCAATAAATCATTGTTTAATTGATAAACAGAAGCGAATAAAAGAGAATCTGTGTGTGTTGAAATAGGAAGAGGGAGTCATGATGGGCCTCACTACCCAGAAGTGAACAGGAACTCTTCCAGAGTTGATTTTTTTTGCATCTGTTTTTTTCAATAAGAGGGGGATGGAGGAAGTTATCAGAAGGAATATATGTCGTGGCATCTGTCACCATTCTCCCCCTGCCTCCACGCCACTGACGTGTGGTTCTAAAATACGAAATCTGATCATGCCCAGGAGTCATAAACCCAAAAGCTTTTAGGGGCCTTGCAGGTAGCAGAAACAAGTAAAGGGGTCAAGTGTAGGACATTAGGGAGTGGTGGGGAGTGGGTCAAAGGAGAAAGCATATGTCCAGTCTAAAGCACCCAAAATTAAAAAATTTTAAGTGAGCTTTCCTGTCCATTCCAAGGACTGCTGCTCAGTAACTTCTAACCCATAGAATCAAGTCCAGATTCCTGGGCCTGGCGTGGCAGCTCTTTGAGAGCCGACCTCTACCTACCAGACGTATTTTGCCATAACCTCTTCCTCTGCTCTGCCACGTGTCCCACACTTCAGCCATTCAAGGCTGACCCCTAAACCCCACACGTGCCATCCTCTCTCCCTTTTCTTTCCTTTTCCACACGTAGGTCCTTCTCCCCGGAAGACTCAACCCCCAAACTTAGCAAAATCTACTCATTCCTGCTAGAGAGATACTTGCTCTCCCCTCCGAGAGGCTAGTATGCCATGGAAATAACCACATAGAAATCTTAGCACGTGGATTTTGATCTGTTTGCACATCTGTCTCTGTGAAAAGCTGTGGACCACCCCTGCGCTCCAAGGGAGACTGTCCTCTTTGTCTTCGTGTTCCCAGCACCCTCCCAGGGCTGGCCCACTGAGTAGGTTCAAAATGAGCGTCTCTCTCGAGTGACTGGATGGTTCTACAAATGAGTAAATGATTCTTTCACCAGAGCCTGTTTGGGAGCCTGTGTTCTGGGTCAGCGCGAGGTAGTTAAATAGGAGTTGCTGCCCCTGGTGGCTGGTCCTTGCCAGTGCCTGGAAGGACAGTCACTGGACCATTTCGTCACAGGAAGCCGGCAAGGAGGCTTCCGTCCCAGGCTGCCTTTGTCCCAGGGTTGGGGCCTCTGGGCCAAATTCTGCTGATCTGCCTGCCTCCCTGGCTCAGCCCCGCTACCTTGTCTGGACATCTGGCCTCTGTGTGCATCCTGGGTCCACTTCCTCCCTCTGACTTGGCTGTAGCCTCTGTTTCCTTCCGGGACCACTGGGTCCACCTTCCTGTGTGGCACCCAGAGCAATATCACAGGTGGCATTGCAGGATCTTTCTACCAATTCCAATGGTAATTTTTTATTTTTTTTGGCCAAGTCTGAACTTGAAACCAAACTCTAAAGGTGGTAGGAAAGAAGGACACACGTTGATTGAATGCCTGCTGCATGCCAACCATTGATCCAAGCATACTGTATTCTCTACCTTGTCTTATTTTATTTCATTCCCCCAACACCCCCAGCTGGTAGAAATTTTTATACCCATTCTACATATGAGGAAATTGAGGCTTTATGAAATCAACTGGATTTAAAGGCAGGCCCAAGTGACATCACAGCCCAAGTACTTGCCACATTGCAGAGCTGGCATGTAAGTTAAAGGTTATTAAGACTCTGTGTTAAGTGCTTTAGTGAGTGGGATACAGAGTTTACTATTTTGATGTAAAAGGCTGCATGGCTAGAATGAGTAACAAAGGCATCTTTTCTCTTTCCCTTAGAAGGTGCTT